GTACCGCTAGTGGTAGCCGGCGATTTTAATGCGTGGGCGGTCGAATGGGGAAGTAGCTTTACAAATGCGAGGGGTACAGCCCTACTATCATCATTCGCAAATCTCGACTTAGTACTTCTTAACAATGGACGCAAACCAACTTTTATTAAAGGCAGGGCGTCGTCTTACATTGACCTTACCTTTGTAAGTTCATCCATAGTTTCACAGATATCATGGCAAGTCTCCGAAGTATATACTCATAGTGACCACCAAGCCATAACGTTCGATATAAATCCGCGACATAGGCAAAGCCCCAGTAGTACGATGCCCAAAAATATGACAAAACGTTGGAAGATAAAAGCTTGCGATCTGGAAATGCTTGAATATGCCACTGGCCAAATCAAACGCAGAACATAACGAAATCCCTTACAATGGTCTGCAATGCCGCAATGCCACGAAAGAAAAACAGGGTAAACAAAGCACCCTCGTACTGGTGGTCCGAAGAAATCGCTAATCTGAGAACTGAATGCTTCAGGTTTAGACGTAGGCAACAACGGGCGAGAGGAAGACATGACTTTGGAGAACTCCTTATCAACTTCCGAAAAAAGCGGAAAGAACTACATAAAGCAATAGTGAAGAATAAGAAAAACGCTTTCAATCTGCTCCTGTCACAAGTAGAAAATGACCCCTGGGGAAAAGCTTACCAGATAGTGATGAGGAAACTGGGAAGATCAAGAAGACCCCCTATATCGCCCATCATCCTGCGCGAGATAGTTAGTGCCCTGTTTCCAAGATGTGAACCCATGCGAGTGCCAGTTTTTCGTATAAACACGGATGAAATCCCGGAAGTGTCCCATGAGGAATTGAAACATGCTGTGACAAGAATAAAGGTAGGAAAAGCACCTGGCCTGGACGGAATACCCAATTTCGTTATCAAGTACGTCTCAAAAAGAAAACCCGAACTGTTTCGTCAAGCGTATACAAGTTGTTTGAGGGAAGGGATTTTTCCCCAAGACTGGAAGCGGCAACGGCTAGTTCTTCTCCCAAAGGGTGACAAACCTCCGGGAGAACCCTCATCATATCGCCCTCTCTGCATGCTCAATACGGCAGGAAAGGTTCTGGAAACCATAATACGTAAACGGCTTGAAAAATACACCGAAGGAGACTGTGGATTGAACCCAATGCAGTTTGGCTTCCGGAAAGGACGAAGCACCGTGGATGCCATAGACACTGTGACAAAACTAGCAAAAAAAGCACTGGAAGGGAGTAGATGGCGGTGGGGTGATAAGCAATACTGCGTTGTCATTACCCTCGACATAAAGAACGCCTTCAACTCGGCCAAATGGACGCTAATTATAAGGGCCCTGAAAGAGCTAAAGGTACCGGATTACCTTTGTCGAATTGTTACGAGCTATTTCGAAAATAGAGTTCTGGTTTACGATACCGAACACGGTCCCGAAGCATACAAAGTTACTGGCGGTGTCCCACAGGGGTCAGTTCTTGGTCCTGTCTTGTGGAACATAATGTATGACGGAGTTCTAAGAGTAGCGGTGCCGAACACAGTAAAAATAGTAGGATACGCGGACGATATTGCGGTCGTAGTCATAGCGAAAACTCTAAATGAGGCGAAGAATAACTGTAGTGAAGCCATAAGCCATATTAAAAACTGGCTGGAGAACGCCGGTTTAGAACTAGCAACACACAAAACTGAGGTGGTGCTAATGAGTAGTCGAAAGAAAGTTGAAACCATTGAGATCAGCATTGATGGGCATACCATAAAATCGAGCCCTTACCTCAAATATTTGGGAGTGATCCTGGACCACAGACTCTCATTCAAACAGCACCTAATCGCCACCCATAACAAAGCGGCGCGGTCTGTATCGGCAATCGCTAGGATAATGCCCAATACGCGGGGCCCCAGACAGCAGGTGAGAAAGCTACTGACATGTGTCAGTAACTCAATAATTCTGTATGCGGCACCAATTTGGCTACCAGCAACCAAATATAGTTCCTATATGAGAGGATTGGTCTCAACACACAGACTAGCATCACTAAGAACTTGCTGTGCGTTTAGAACGGTATCAGATGATGCAATAAGTGTTATATCAGGTAGACTACCCATAGACATTGCAGCTTTGCGTTGCTCATTAGTGCGTGATATTCGACACGTTAAAACATCCAACCAGTATGCTCAAGAACTTGGAAAAATCGAAGAGAAGTGCCTCACTCAATGGCAGAAAAGGTGGAATACGTCAAGTAAGGGAAGGTGGACCCACTCCTTGATACCCAATATCCAAGAGTGGACTATGCGCGAACACGGCGAGGTGAACTATTACCTCACACAGTTTTTATCTGGCCACGGCTGCTTCAGAGCTTATCTATATAAATTCAAGCACGTTGAAACACCATACTGTACATACTGCGAAAACTACACTGAAACGGCAGATCACCTCGTGGTAAAATGTGTCCGTTTCCAAAATGAAAGACGAATACTATCCGATAAATTAGGGAAATCTCTACCAATACGTTCCACTGATGTGGTGCGTCATATGCTATCCTCCCAAAATGGCTGGGATACAGTAAGCGGTATAATATCGTATATCATGCAAAAGGCCCGCGAAGACGAAGTAGCTGAAAGACCGAGGGTGCAGTCCCGAGATGCATTACAAAACTAAGACGACCCCATAAGGAAATAGAAATAAAGAAGCATTACTGTGTATAATACCTGCCCTGCGAAGGAAAGCCTAACGGTAGTTCCGCAGGGAAGTACAGGTCTGAGAGCAAGGGGGTGATTTAGCACGTATGCGCTGTACACTTTATATTGTACAGTGAATCGGGCATAATTGATGGTACGGGCCATCAATATCTTTCGAAGATTTACACCCACCTTTGGCGTATCCATAAAAAAAAAAAAAAAAAAAAAAAAAATGTACGGTTATTTATTATGCGCGAGTGTCTGGTGTGCTGACCACTTTGCTGCGCTCGCGTGATTGTCATATTTTCGCAGCACTTTGCCGTTTTCTCTGCCGCTAACTGAAAAAGAGTATCGCCTATCCGCTTTCGCTTCCTCTCGACCACCGCTGCAAAGCTTTCCTGCGCTTTGCTATTTTGTATTGACTTGCGCATGTGTGGGCAGCTGCTGAGTGGGGCACATGTTAGGCGTTCAAGCACGCACTTCCGCCCTAGAACACAATGAGTTTCCAGCAACAATGATGTAGTAACATTGTTCAAGACAGCAATAGCAACAATGCGTATGAGTTGTGACCGCGCTGCATGGACTTTTGCGCTTTTTGACACGCGCTTCTAAGTGGAGAGCGTTCACTTCCGCTTTGATATGCTTTTATACTGCCGAAGACAAGTCACCAATTAAGTGTTATCAATGTACAATAACAACAAAACTGCTATAATGAATAGGTAGCATACTTTTCAGCGCCAGAATTTTGTATAAACACAGGGTGTTATTATTTATTATTATACAACTCTACATACATGTATTCCATACATACATATGTATATATGGTATAAACAGCATTTCATTGCAAATGCACATACAAACTGACAACATCGAAGTTGTCATTAAATAACGAAAATATAACGAAAGCCGGGCTCAAAAAACTACGCAAGTTACAAAAGGAAACAAGCTGTCAATCAGAAAATGATGATAGCGCGACTCAACCAAAGAAAATAAATTGCAACAATAAGCCATTTAAGCCTGAATATAATGTTTATGACATTTTTTCTATAGAAGAAGAGTATAAAATGAAGTAAACTTGCCAATATGACAGAAATACTTATATATAAACAGGCCTATGTACCAGCTACATATTCATATGGGGTTGTGGCATTGCTGTCAGCGGCTTCTCGAAACTTGCTGGGTATAGAAACTGTCGACGACGTTGACAATGATGCTGACAACGGCAAATTGTTTCGCACAGTTGACTGTTGTATCAAATTGTAACAGTTGTGAAACAACAAGAGCACTCAAACTGAGCGAAGAATTCATTTGTGTGGTTGTGATATATAAAAACACTTTCATAATAAATTCTTATAAGTGCAAAGAAAGCAGTTAGTGGCGGATTTAATTTGCAAGATTACTTGGTATATTAATATTAATAGGTGTTAGGATGAAATATCGAGCGAACCAACATTTTTTCGAAATCATTTTGTAACAGCAAGTAATGAGAGCCAGGCGAATCAATAAACGTAATCAATAAATAATTCGCTAAGAAGTTGAAATATACAATAATATTAGCTAAAAATTTAATATTTCTAAAGAAATTATTATTGAATAAGTTCACCTTATATAGTAAAGGAATTAAATTTGACCTACAAAAGCTATTTAATCATCAATGTAAATACATAACCTTTTTCGAACATTTTCATATCTTATACGCTCCTCAATACTACTACACGCTTTCAGCTTTTTACAAACAGTTACACTACTGCTTTTTTATATATGTCGGTTAGCGCCAAAGTGCACCGAAACTTGCTCAGAACTTTTTCCTTGCAACTCCCTAAGTGGCCTGCCTTTTTTCTGGGTCACTCAGAAGATTGTTAAATAAGATTAGACAACAACGCCTTTCACATACTTAAAGGCGTTGAAGTGTTAACGAAAAGTTACTTTCTTAGACAAACTTGTTTATTGTATAAGCGTCGAAACTTTTTGCGCGGCTACGCCAAAGGCTGCTGCAGTGCGAGTGTTTTCACAAAAATTGTTGACAACAAAACTAATTAGCTTAGGCATCGAGAGCAAACTATAGATCATATGAGTAAGGCACAAAGTCATATCAGATTAGAGCGAAGACGGCGTCCTTTAGACTAAAGGCAGACATACTTGCGTGCGCTTAGCTGTATCTGGCAAGGTCATGCTAAAATGCTGAATAAGCATGACAGACAGCTTGTTAACTGATTTCTTGTGTGTGCCTAATTGAACAGTATTTAATAAGCAATCTCCTATACTCTTCCCTACAGCTATTTATATATGTGTATTATTTATATCCAAAGAATTATTTAGCACTCACCTGTTTGCCAAATGTGGGCGACAGCGAAGGCGGTGGCGGCGACGCCGTATTAATGCGCGTCGGTGGCGTGTAAAGTATGCGCTGCGACTCAATGTTCAGCCGATCGAACGCCTTCTCCTCCAAGTGAAATTCATCCTCGCTGTTTGTCTCCTGCGGCACAACATCGGGATTTTTGTCCTCCAAGCTCGAATGACTGCCCATGTTACGCGATAGCGGCTCGGCGCTGCCCTTGTCCGCCTCCGTGGTAGTGGTATCGCCATTCGGACGTCGCGTCGCCTTCGGACGTACACGTAGGAAAATCACAATGCAGATAGCGATCAATACGACTGTGGCGACAATGCCCAGCAAGGCGCCGAGCAGTGGTGTCAGCTGCACCAACACAGCGGTGGATGAGGCGGTGCGTAGCAGCGGTGCGGAGAGTGTACGTCCGCGCACGCGGAATGACACTTTGCTCGGTCCTTGCGCGTTCACGGCCGTTACGCGTATCACGAAGACCGAATCGCTTGGCAGCCGCTTGACGGTGAACTCGGCATACTTGTAGGAAGTGTTGTAGAGTATTTGATTGGTGAGTTCGTCCTTGATTTGCACGTGAAAGTGCTGCGGTATGCCACCGTCATAGCCGGCGATGCACTGAATTTGTATGGAGTTGGCGGTGGCATTGTAGGCCGTGCAGTTCTTCACCGGATCGGGAAAGTCTGTGCAGAGAAAGAAACAAGATTTTCAGTAAAAATTTACAATCAGTTTAAAGTAATGTCATTGAAATAAGTAATGCGGCGCATTTAATAGCACTTTGCGAATCGCTGCCGCACTTCAGTTATGACCTTGATTTATTTTTATATAGTTCATAGCTCATAGAACGCAAACAAAAGCAGGCTGTCAGCACTTGTCACAACTAAATCATATAGAGGCCTACACCCAAATAGTTTGCGCCCCCAAATTTATGCCACACAAACGCCCACGCCGTTTAGGCTAAGGCGCACTTGAGCCGCGTTTCTTGGCTGTGCTGTTGGCAACGCTGCTCAGCCTTTTAGGGTCAATAGTGCACTTGAGGGTGGCACAGAAAGGTCCCACGAGTGTTGGGACTCCCCAAAGCACCTGCACGCTACATAGCGGTTAGATACGTAGTTGATATGTGTGGGAAGGTGGCGCATAGGGAGTGTGGCGTAAGGGGCGTGCTTCGCGCTGTACAATTGTGGTTTATTGTAGTTTAGTTGTTTACTCATTTCTTGCACATTTTTCCTATGCGCTCTTAGCAGTGCAGGCGCTTGCAAAGCATAAGCAAAAGCAAAAGGTAGTCATGCAGAAAAAGCAGAGGAAGGAGAAAGTTGTATGTGTATGTATGCGTTGGCTAGTAAAACAAGAGCTTACAAGTGTATAAACAAGCAGTAAAATTGAATCAGCAACAAACTAAACAAGCAGCGAAGAGGCCGTACTTTAACGCACATACAAACGCTAGCATAGAGAAAGTAGAATGCATGCCCAGCAGGAAAAATCTTAGTGCGGAAATGACTTTATAATTCAAAAGTAATTTCAGAGTCTAAATTATTAGACACTCAAGAGACTTTTCAAGTTGCAGATTGTAACAAGTTTACATGAGCTCAAAAGTTTTTATTTTCGTGCTTGATTTTAACGCAGTGACCAAAACATATACTAAACAAATCGTGTTTAAGTTCGAATAGAAATCCAACACGAACAATTTTGGTCAACATTCTAGCAAACAGCATTTTTAATAATTTATTATATACTTGTAGTCTTTTTTATGAAGTCTGCATAAATTATTTTTGGAGGGTTGCTAAAAGGTTAAGCTCTGCCAAAGAACTGTATATTTGCAGTAAAACGTAAATAATGGCAAGCTCATACCCTCATTAAAATATTGTAAAAATCCACAGAAAAGAAGCAATTATATTGCATCCTATAAGTATGCTACACTCTTCTAATTCTTTTGAATTTTGACATTTAATTTTGTCCAAAGTTCAAAGGAATTCATGAAAAAATTTTACGAAAGTGAACCTTACTAAAACTGTCTGTATGGGTTATACAGAAGAGGACAAAGCGGTATTAAGAAAAGTCGAAATTGCAGCCGAAAAAGGCACTCTAATTAAGAGCCAGTTCAAATAGGCTACGCGTAGAAGAACTACAAGCTCTTATAGCAACTTATGTAAGAAAAAAAATGCTTGTGATTAGTAAAAGAACCATCACTAGTTCGATTTGAAAAGTTTTAAAACCAGACCAGCTCTCTTTCTCTGTGCTTAGGCGTACAAGAAAATATACATACGAGTATATGCTTACTCATATATACATATATAAATTACAGTAGGTAAACCAACGAGGGTTTATATTTTACTGTTGCTCTTTCTCTTATGCGCACATTTTGCGGTTGGGGTTTCATGTGTGTGGTTGTAAATCTTGCTGTAGAGTCCTTTTTGCTAGACAAATATCTTTTCAAACACACACGCACCCATACTAGTGTGTATGTGTGTATGTGTGTGCTAAAACAATGCAACACAAAGTTTTTATTACAAAGTGTACTTCTTTCTTACTTTTCCCCTATCCAAGCATGCTGCCGCCAACGCACAACGCCACCACCAAGCCAGCACTTGTGGTAACTTGAGTTGTTAGTCTTAATTATCAAGGGTTGCTTGAGTTGCGCGCTGCTCGGTTACTTTGGTTTCACTTTTATATTTAACAACACCTCGGCTATAATCTTACGCACATATTGTTTATTTATATTTGTGTTCGGTAGTGCTTTTGTGTGGGTGCACAACATAAACTAAAGTAAAAACGTGGCAGTAGTGGCGGTCTACACTTCAATGGTTCAAGCAGCACAAGTCTATTATACCTATATGGAAGGGTGAAAAAGCATGGCAAAAGAGCTTTTGCGAAAGCGGGTCAAAATGTGATCAATTAATTGATGAAAGCTTATCTGAGAGTTGAAAGTGTATAGATAAGAGCTGGCTTTTAATAAAGAAAAGTGGCACGATGTTTTTATTTTTAAAATTTTTATGAAGACTTTTCTAAGTGGTTTCGTAATAAATTTTATGCTGAGTACAACTGGCTTGGCAAATAAGCACTTTTTGTTAGAAATTATGCTGATATAAGCATGTATACAGCTGTACATAAGAAAAGATAAAACGTGGGAGTTGGGCGGATTTTCAGCACAGCTCTACAAAGGTAGTTGGAAAGCGTGCTGAGTGATATTGATTGCCATTATCAGTTATTTCAGCACGCATTGAACATTTTGCACCAGCCTTTTATTTGATTTTATACTCGTATTATCTATGCTCACTTTGATTTCTTGGCAAGCCTTTATTGGCTTCATTTTCTGATGAATTTTCGAAATTCATCATTTAAAATTCGTTTTCGTTTACGGTAAGAGGCATTTTGTCAAGCATCCGGCCGTTTAGCTATTTGCAAAATACAAATTGTTATACTCACAAATGATTTATCTGTTGAAATCACTTAATCGGAGATTTATGGGCATTGCCAAATTGTGGTCAGCACTGCAATAGCATAAACGAAATGTGCACTTGACAATTAAATGACATTCATTATTCGAACTCGAATGCATGAAGGCTGGAAGTGGCGAGGAAATCAGAGGAGAAAAACGAAAGAAATGAAATAAACTACAGAGTAGTTGCAGGCAAGGTGAGCAACAACTAAATACTTGTACAGCAATGTGGACATTTCTATTTATGTGAACATGTAGAGTAAGCTATACACAAATTAGAAATACAATAACAACAAATAGTTGGCCGTAAAAGGTTAGTTTTCAAATCGCTTGCCGATCATTTCGCCTCTGTCAGGCAGTTGACCCTCACCTCCACACCGAAATGTGTGGCGGCGGTTGAGCGGCAAGGACAATGACAATGCCAAGCGACAATCGCACCGATACACATACACACACACACAACCAAGTGCTGTGGTGGGCGAAATGCTCATATTGTGAAAATGACAGTAAAAACTGTGAATTTTCCATTGTAAATATGCAAAATGCAAACAATTCACAGACAATTGCTGCAAGCGCTGGCAATGCCAGATACACACACATGCAAATAGTTACAGCGGTATGTGCGGAGATATATCAGTGTATGTTCTATTACAATTATTTGGTAAATTTTCATAAAAAAAAACGAGTCGTTGCAGTGACCCTTGTGTACCCTGGCGGTTGCGAGTCGGATATACACGCTACTGACAAAAAGCACATGTAAATCTGAGGCGGCATGTGGTGAGTTGTAGTGTGGTGAAATGCTGTTGGTGGTAAGTAAGTATGCATGCCATGGTAGGGATAAATGTCATAAGTGCAAGCAGAATATATGTAGCTATAATTCATAGTTTTTTTTTATTGTGTGAGGTAAAATTATTTTAAAGAATTTAGGAAAGTGGTTTTATAGCAACTTATTGCTCGCCGTGTATCTCTATTTGTGATTTGTCTGCGATTAATTCCGCATACTGGTAAAACCAGCAAGCACACTTAAAATGTTGGAAGTGCCCGAAAAAGCATATGACAGTAGAAATAAAGTGGTAAATGAAAGTATTTAAGAAGCCGAAATGTTCGTAAAAAGCATCTCAAGTTGGTGTAATGTTAAAATATTTATTCGGTGGTATATTAAAATTCGACTAAATAAAAAAAAAATGCATTTCATATTTGTAAATATGTGAATGATCGCAATTAAAATTCAAAAGTTAAATCAAACTATTTTATTCTATATAAAAATGATATCTATAAAAACTGTGAAAGGAAAAATCAAAACATTTTTGATGAATTTGACAACGCAAAGTAATGAAAATCCAAATACACTCGTGCAAGTGTGTGAATAATTAAACCTGGTAATAATAGCTTGGAATTTTTGAGGGGCTTTTAATTTTTGGTGAAAAAATGTTTCCAATTAGTTTTGGCGCCATCGAATGTAAAAAAAAAAATCAGCAAATGAACATCACAGAAAACAAACATTGGGCGAAAAACGCTCTTTGTTTAAATAAAAAAAAAATTATGCAATGAGCACTATTTTCCTTTAATAAAAACCTTGAATTCAGCGAAAAAAAAAGAAAATAAAGTTTTTCAAATTACATGCTTTTTGAAATCGTGTAAATATGTAGATATAAGCATGTGTTTACAAGTACGCACACGCCGAAACATGACTTAAAATATAAAAAAAATGTATGATTTACCTAGTAAATCAAGTGAAATTCTTCAACAATTTCTCTTTTAATTAACGCTAAACCAACACAGAAAACTTTTTTCCATTTCCCACACACACACTTGCAATATGTGCGCTGTTTACACGCTGGTTGTGTGTTAGTTACAGACAATTAGCTCAATTACATATATTTATATATATACTTGTATGTGTAGTAGTATGCTTTCCAAGCAATCACATTATTAATAAACTGCGCGTGTGTTAAAGAAAATCACTTAACGAAACTTTTCGACAGAAATAAATTTTTATAAAAGTTTGAAAAAACATATACACACATTTCGAAACTTTCAGCACTTTCTACTATTCATTATTATTATTAATTATAGATAATTTCAAAGAAATTAAGAAAACTTTATTTAAAAAAATTACTTAATTAGATTAAAAAAATATATATTCCTCAACTATTTATAAATAAAAAATAAATAAAAAAATATAAAAATTATTATATTTTATACAAAAACATTATTTAATTTTCCCAAAAAAAATTGTTCTTCAACTACTTATAAACAAAAGAAAAACAATAATTAGTTTTTTAAAATTATCAAAATGAAAAAATTATTGAATTTTTATAAAAAACTTTAACTACTTATAAATAAAAACAAATAAATCATTATTTTATTTTGATTCAAAAAATTATTTAATTCAATAAAAGGTATATTCTTCAATTAATTATAAAAAAAAATCACTGATTATTTCATTTCGATAAAAAAAAAATTATTTAATTTGATAAATAAATATATTCCTACACTAATTATTAATAAAAAAAAATTAATAATTATTTAATTTTGATAAAAAAAAAAATTTTAGAATTTTTTTAAAAATATTTATTGTTCAACACTAATCAAAAAAAAATAAACAATAATTTATCTATCAAAATTAAAAAATTGTTGCATTTTGATTAAAAATGTTTAACTACTTATAAATAAAAATAAATCAATAATTATTTCATTTTGATAAAAAAAATACTTAATTTAACTAAAAAAAAAATTAATTAATTTTGATAAAATATTATTTAATTTTGATAAAATTATTTAATTTTGATAAAAACACACTGAATAAAAAAAAATTATTTAATTATTATAAAACAAAATTTTCTTCAATACCTATAAAAAAATAAACCATAATTTTTTCGTGTTGATACAAAATTATTTAATATTTATAAAAATACATATTTTTCAAGTTATAATGAAAAACTATATATATTTAAAAAAGCATTAACTATTTCATTTTGAAAATATTTTTTTTAGTTACTTATAAATAAAAATACACAAATTGTACAATTTTGTAAAAAAAAGGTAAGATTCTTCAACTCCTTGAAAATATGCAAACATTGAAGGTGAATAAATAGGCGCACACGCAGCGACAATGCCACTTTATAACACCGCCCTTCACATACACACATGCACATACATATGTAAATAAAGACACCCACACACACATGCACTGCTCTAATGAAGGATATACAAGTGCATATTAAGTGCCTCGGCAGCTTTGCTTTTGCCATTGAAGAAGACGTGAGTGCGGGATTTTTTATTTTAATTTTATTTTTGCTGAACACACGCACATTTTAAGTATATAGTATATATATATGCAAATGTATATACTGCTGCGTGCACCATGGTTTTTTTTTTGTCAACGTTGACCTTTTGACATTAATTAATTTGTGCAAAAAACGCTGGCATGGCACAAGTGCGCACAGCGCCGTTGCTTTTCGATTGTGGTAATGGCAAAATTTTAATTGAATTTTTTAGTGGTGTGGCTTGAGTGACTCGAAAAGGTGCTCAGAAATGCAAATTAAAAAAGGTAGGCGAGCGTCAGCGATACTGTATGTGCGTGTGATTTGTAAAAACAATATAAAATGACTTAATTTCAGATAAAGTAGCTGAAATAAAATACATAAAGACATGACGTCACAAATTAATTTTCTAAAATAAAACTAAATTGTTAATGAAAATCAATTGAGAAATTATTTTGTAAAAGAAAGACCAATTTAGTAAGGACATGTCTCGAATTGCTTCAAATAAGTTCGACGGCTTCCTCCGAGATTTATATTTACAGGTTGTGATGTTTTATATAATCAATCGTCGAGGTTACAGCAGATTTTAAAACAGAAGTCACAAAACCAAATTGGGCCTTTTTGAACACATACGAGTATATCACGCGACTGCATACTAAATTTATACGTTACGCATACACATACAAAATTTCATTAAAAATGCAGTTAAATCGATAAACTGTCGAAATAACTGGGTATGCACTTCATAACCGTATGCAAACTACTGCGGAGACTTACGAAATATTACCACAGCACAACAAACCGAATTCCGCAGCGATTCACAGAGCGGCACGTTATAAAAATACACCCCCCACCTGCTTGCAATCTACCGTTAAAATATTAGCAATCGTTGCACACTCACCTGCCGGCTGTATGTGATACCAACAGGGCTCGCTTTGGCCCATAGCATTGCTGGCCACGCACGAGATTGCACCGAAACTATCGTACGAATCTATGTGGTAGCTGTAGACGTTGTTTAGCGGTGGCGCCGGTGGTGGTTGAGTGGTCATCGACACACCGGCCATTGGACGATGATGTTGTTTTTTGTGTAGCGCTGCCGTTAGCCGTTTGCGTTCGGCCAACTGAAATTGATTGCCATGCGGGAGCATGTCATGAGCGACGCCACCCACCAGCCCACCACCGATGCCGCCAGCCATGCGGCCCTGCTGTGGATGTTGGTGCGCCGAATATTGCTGCTGTTGCTGTTGTTGTTGGTGTGTGTGCTGTACATGTTGCGGCTGCAGCAATTGTTGCTGTTGTTGTTGTCGGTTATCCAAATGATTTTTATAAATCATATTCGAATAAACCATTTGGGTATGCGGCGCGCTAGCGACCATATCGTCGACCAGCTCCTCGTCCGCGTTGTCGTTGTTGTCATTTTCGTTGTTGTTGCTGTTACTGTTTTCAAAAAATTCACCATCATCGTACTCATCGACATATTGGTGGGGCGGCATTTGCTGTTCGTCGACATCTTCGAAACGAATGTTGGACCAAGCGCTTCCGCCGCCGTTGCCGCTGCCCAATACACTGGCGGCCGCCGCAACACGTCCATGCCGGCCGAGCAGAAATTTTTGCGCATGACCATGCTTCCGCTTGCTACGCTGATAATATCCGCCGGATGTGTGCCCTCCAGCTGCACCAACATCCGGATACTGCAGTAACGGCATAGCGGCCGAGGCCGTCGCCATCGTTGCGGGCAATTCGATGAGCCTCTCTAGTGAATTGTTGAAATGCCATCTGTAATTTAGATTATCAAGTGGATTCGAGTCCACTTGACACGTAATGTTGATGGTCTGTTTGAGGGCGGCGCGTATGGTTGTCGACTCGGCTTTGCATACGGGCGGATCTGCGGGCGAAATACATAAGAGATGATTAGATCGTTTTATGAATTGCGTTTCGCTTGCGGCATAATTTTAAATATTTGCATACAAGTCACGTGCCTAATTGATTGTAATGACTAGCTTCGGGGCATAGACGGTTGTAAAATACAAAATAATGAGAGATGAAGTACATAAACAGGGGTTAAGGCCCAGTTATGCGGATTTTTAGTTGCACAAGTACAACACAAACACATACTCGAGTAGGTCAATTATTTTAAAATGGGCGTATAAGGATTTGCTAACATATGCCTAGCATTTGCGCTCACTTACATTTCACATCCAAATATACTTCATTGCTGGACACGCTCCCTTGTATATTAGTGGCACGACAGAAGTACTGGCCGTGTGATATTTTCGAAATTCCTTGCAGCACGAGCGTCTGATTGGAGATGATAACGCCGCGGGAAAGATGCAGCTGTTTGTCCTGGAAATATATGAAAATACACATAGTTTAATGCAAATGATATATTATGAATACAAGTATAACACTCTAATTTAATAAAGTGAGATGTAATCCTATAAAATAATACATTTTTACATACATCAATAGCAGGGTGAAGCGAAAAAAAAAATTTTCTTTTTGGCTTAGTCTGAGTGTAAAATCGGTAGATTATAAAAACAAGAACATTTTTGGACAAAAAAAATTTTCCCTCGCGGTCGTCAGATCATACATTAAGGATTTCTTTTACGATACTTAGATTGGGTTAGGTTCTATGTCTGATCCTGAAAGAGTGACTTGCTAAAGATGGTCCCGTACAAAGCCAGAAAATTTCTGCAGCTGGATCCATGACTTGACGAATCGCCATGAACCTAGCGCAATACTGCTGATTATTTCCGGCCCCTCTAATTCGACTGGATATCTGAAGAGGTAAGATTCAAGGGTTTCCAACATTGATCTCGTAAAGGTGACAGAGTCGACAAGGAAGGGCTGAGATGATTTAAAAAAAGCTCTAATCTGCCAACCAAGCCCCATACCAATAGACCCTTTGGACGCAGTTTATACCTACAATATCTACCAGTAAGTATTGTAATTATTTTAATGGAAATCCTCAGCCATCTCTTTAATGATAACAAGATTATTTTGTTTTACTTTTGCAAAAATATTCTGGGATATAGTTTCCGTTGTTAAGTTCCTAACGCAAAACTTTTAATGTGCCTGCGTTTCTGATAATTGAGACTGCCCAAAGGAAAACAAAATATCACCAACCGACAGAAAAAGTTTGAGATACCATGGGATGAGAGCTCCTAATAAAAATTTTTTGGCGGCTTCTTGTTAAATAGCGATTTCGGAAAAAAAAACGAAGCTTGGCCTTAGAGTTTGGAATAGAAACCTTTTATATTCTTATTGACATATATTCTTCAGAGTTAAAGACAGAAGGCAGAGCAAAAGCAAAACAACTATACAAAAACTAAAAAAAAAAGAAAATAGGGAAAAATATCATGAAACTTAAATAAATGAGCTTTTAAGAGGTCACTGCTCAACCATATTAACCCAGACTGGTCGAACTATTTTTTCTGCTGTGTGCACCATTTACATTTTGTCATATTTCAAACACTTTGAAACGTAAAATATCCATTTCGTACTTAAATCCTTGTCAAAGTCACTAGCAAACAGCACAAAAAGGACACCGACTCCTCTTCCTTTACTAAGAGCACTTTGCACAAATATATTTATTTATGTATACTCGTAAACAGTTTAGTATGGTTGCTGATAGATTGATGGATTATATGTAGGTATAAAAACTGGGTGAAATATTAGAAAAAATGGAGGCCACGGGTAGAAATTGCTGCTGCCAGTGAAACCCTTTTCAAGTTTTTCACAAGCTACTCAGTCCCAACACCTGTCATGTAGCGGTTACTTAGCCCGATGACCATGGCCAGTAATGTATGCTATCAACGAGTAAATCGCGGAGTGAAAGACGGTAGAAAAGTGAAAGGCAGCAGAGGAAAATGGCCTGTGCACACGCCAAATATCATCAACGCCTGGATATAATTCTTTTTTTTTTCAGCACTAACAGTGAACTAAGCGAAGGACGTATTGTGTGGGGCTTGCTAGTGTTGAAGGAGTATGGTAATCTCTATTTATAGCCACAAAACAAATTGCTTTCCATTCAATTTCTTCGAATTAGCATGACAATGTCTGCTGCAATATATATATATGGACATACATACCGTTCTTAAGCACACATATAAACAACACAGATCCATCTAGCGGATGAGCACTGCAGCCTAATCCAGTTGCGACTTTTTGCTTCGACTTCTTCCCGCTTCTACGACAAACATTGAAGTGCTGAGACAACAAGTGCGGTGAAGTATGTGAGTGGAGGAAGGCGACTGATTGCTTTTGCCTCGCAACATGCAGCGGCGAGCTCGAATAGAGGAGTGAGGGGTTCAAAAGTGGCGAAGTAGTGTGGTTCAGAGAATGCCAACGTGGTAAGAGAGTGGGCAAGTAATGGCGACAAAAAGACAGTTGCGAGTAGCAAAAAAAGGACTACAAAAAAAAGCTGAAAGGGTAACCAAGCGTAGCACTGGGTGATGGATGTGCAAGCCAGGACAACAAAAACCCTTGGCTGCAGGATAACAAACCATTGCTACTGTATATTTGTATATTTACGACATTGTGTGCGGAGTAATCCGTATATGTTTGCAGTAGCGAAGTCATATTGGTTCGAGACAACAACGGCACTGTGCAGGCGGGTGAAAATCGAAGAAAATGTCAAATGAAAAATAAATGCAAGAACGGACTCGATCAGTGGTAAAAACAAAGACGGCAAACAAGCAAGATCAAATAGGCGCGCAGTTGAGCAGCCTTGGCGCTGGCGATAGCTGCGAATGCAGTGGGTGCAGCAGTGGCAAGTGCATGTATGTTTGTATGTGTGTGCTGTGATGGGGCAGACGTGGCCGTGGCAGACGCCCAGAACGACAGCTGAGTGCCTTTATTTATTACTTATTTATATGCGCTGCATTGCATTATTTGCAAAGAGTAATGTAAATAAAGGCAGCATAAGAAATAATAATAATAAATCTTAAAAATGTGCAACAACAACAAATGCATTTGCACCTTTTGCTGTGTGAATATCGGCTGTAGCGCTTGTATGTGGCACATAAACTGTTTACACGCAAACAAATACGCATTAAAATACAGGCGCACGCAAGAGTATGAGCAGATAGCTGCACATATTTATGTTTATTGAGGAATTTTTAAAACATTTTTACTTTCTCAATTCCATTTTCATGTGTTTTCGTTACTTATTTGCCATCAGTCTCCAGCTGAGTGACTGTCTGACTAGTCACTGCTATAAGCGCATAGGTGAGGTACTGAACAGATGCGTCTACACACACATACACAGCTGCTGCTGCCTCATATAGATGGTTTTGATGAGTTTGCCGTTGAAATGATGTTTCCACATGCTAAGTACCTCAGAGTGGTAAACAGGCACTTAAATATTTACACTGCTACAAATGGGGGTAAGTGCGTGTAGCAGCATGCATTTGTATATATGGAGCTGCATTGAAGCTTGTTCGTGCGTGTATATGTGTAGGCGAGTGCTTTACCTAGCTAACGTGTAAACAAATATTTAAGAAACATTAGTATAAGAGTATGTGTTAATATGGAAATTAAGAGAGAAATATAACATCTGATCAAAATTGAACTGAAAAAAATTTTAAATTTGTAAAAGAGAACGTTAAAAGAAAAAACTACATGTTTCGGATTACATCTTTGCAAACGTCGAACGAAAAATATGCAGCTTGTCGAGGGAATCCTTGCATGATTCAGTTAAATTCCAATTTAAAGAATAGTCTGTTTCTTTATAATGAAGAACTGCTTACTACACAATTGCAATTTGCAGTTACCAACGTTACATAAGCAACAACAATTGCAACAATGCGTCACATAAGCGACTGTGAAAGAATTGAAGTGCATATTAAATAGAGCCAGCAGCATTTTTACGTCTCAAGTGTAATTGTTGTTTTATTGGCGAACAACTTGTAAAAAAAAAACACAAAAAAAAAAACACAAAAAAAAAAAAACAAAAAAAAAAAAACACAAAAAAAAAAAAACAAAAAAAACAAAAACAATAAAACCGAACAAAGGACGACGACACTGTCAAGATAATTTGAGGAGGCGGGTGAGCGTAGTTGAGCAGAATTGTAAAAGAAAGCTGTGAGTGCGCTAAAAAGGGTCACATATGTAAAAAGTTGCATGTGACAAGGAGCCACAGTCGTACGAGCACTACTTTTATTGTATGTGTGTGTGTGTGTGTATGTGCGTAAGTACGTTGTGTACAGACGTGATCGCATTGTTTCAGCGCGTCAATGAATTTTATGCTTTCTTCCATTGTGCCACACGCTAGCTAGCTGGCATCTTTGTTATTGTTTGTTACTTGGTTATTGTTATTGTTGTGGCTGTTGTTTTTTTGTTGACTGGCGCTACTTGAAATTTTGTGAATATATTAAAAATGCATTGTGCTGCAGAAAGCCGCACACAGACACATTGTGCTTCTTCGTGCGCGTTGGGTGTGTGTATTAGTAGAGCGCTTTTGTTGCATGAAGAACTCTATGTCTGCTTTTGTTGCGATTCTCATGCGCTCTCGCACGACTATTTGTGTTTACCTACGTATGTGTGTGTGTGTGTGTGTTTAGCATAACTTACATTGTGATACCACTCGACCCGGGTTATGCCTGGATTCGCCTTTACATCGCACTCCAAGTAAACATCGGAGCCCTTCAGCAGGTTGTTCGGATCCAGAGGTGCGCCCAAGCGCAGTGAGACAATGGGTGCGTCTGTGGGAGAAGAGCAGAAATATTGTATATTTTGAATTATAAAAGGGCAAAAAAAAATATATATATATAAAATTGCAGTTCTTAAAAGCATATTTGTTTGATTTTTTTCCCTCACTTGCGCTTCAAGAGGCGTTCTTAAGCGTTTCCACTTAAAAATAAAATTAACTATGATTGGTATTGGTTTTTCGGTTAACAAGAGCAAACTTTTTTCAAACTTATAAGAGGTATACTTATACAGTTACTTTTGAAATAAATTATATAAGCGTGCAAATTTTTGGTTGTTAGTGGCTAAAACTATTTAAACTTATTTTGATAGTCTAAACAGGATTTATTAAGCTTGTCACGAAGTTTTTAAATCTAGAAGGTAACTTCGGACACCATACAAAGTGTATATAGGTATGTAAATGATCAGTGTGACGAGTTGAGTCTATTTAAGTGATAGTTTGGTTGTCGTCGAGGTCATCTAACGGGAGGCCCAAGAAACAGGATGTTTCGACGGAGTCGGACCATAGGGATAAGCGTGTTGAATGAGTTGGGTTTGTTGGGCATGCAAAAAGAGTTTAGAATGGTAGGTCAGTCTGGTTTCGCGAGGCAACTCTAGCTCTACGTCTGCTATGGGTGGTGGTTTGACTCCTAGTACGCCATTCACTGATTCGAACAAACTGTTCAGATCGGACCACTATAGCATATAGCTGACTAAAAAACTGGCCGATCAAAACCACGATATATATCTTTTTATACTCTTTTATGCTTTAAAAAATACACCTATGAAGTATATTATAGATTTTGTGCTGCCGAAGTTGTCGTTTTTTTATATAACCTAGAAAATGTTTACTTTATAGGGGTTTAAACTATTTAAACTTGCTATGTTTTGTATTTGGAATAATTTTTTCAAACTTTTGGTTCATATTAAGTTAAGCTCTAAGTTTTCTTTTGAGTATTATATGCATTGGAGTTCTCTCAGAGGCTCAAGAACTATATTTCGCATACGCAACATTTAGTTGCAACACTTGTTATGCATTAGCTAATATAAAACAAAAGCACACTTCATTTCAGTGGCGAAATTGATTTCCAACTACGTGCAGCTTCAAGCTCGAAATCCAATTAAAATTTACTCAAATCAATTAAAAACTTAATTAGTACAGCGAAAGCTGCTTAGAACTGAGTAAAATCGACTGCGAATAAAGCTCGAGTAAGTGTTCATTATTACATAGTTAACTTACATTCACATAAGAGCGAGTGCATAAATGCTTAAACACTTAGATGAATGCATATGTAGCCAGGTATAGAATACGCTTATAAGTAAGAAAATACAGCCACACATATGTTTATGCGCAGTTATGAATGTGCAACTAACTGTACTTATGAAGTGCTCTGTTAATATGAAGTGCAAGCGAGTACTCGCACTTGAATATAACTAACTCGAGCGCTCAACTATGTAGTTAAGCAAATGCACATACACACAGGCACCAATACATACATATGCATATACATATACATATATATATATATATATATATATATATATATACAGCATATATGTAAGCATGTGTTTGCATGCAAAGCCAAGCATAAGCTTGCCTTAACAGCGCCGAGTCGACAATTGACTTACGTGTCACATTTAGCACGCGCGAATCCTTCAAATACAATCCCATATTGCCATTGCTCTGTGCCGTCAACACGGTCGTATCGCCCTCATGCAGCTGCTGCGAGGTTATAGATGGATTTAATGAAATGGAGCAGACTACTTGACGCTCGTTGTCCTCGGGCACCGGTATAAGCATCAGCTCGGAGACGGTGGTATTGCCATCGCTGGAAGTCTGCAAAGATAGAATATTGAAGTTGAAGGATTAAAGATGTTCGCAAACGAACTTTAGATTCAGTATGTACATATGCTAGGTGTATGAGACTATGCCATAGCAACAAATATATGTGAATGAGCTGTTTAGTGAATTGTGTGCGACTCATGGTGGGGCGCAATATCGCTGAGCAGTTGCAGCAAGTAATACCAAACTTGCGCTTTTTTTTATAGAAAAACAGTTCCATGTTAGCTTCCATATCATTATTGCTTAGCAAAAATTTCTCTGGTATTAGCTCTATATCACAAACTTACCGACTGTGTTGCGCCCTTGAGCACCTGTCCTGATTTTTTCCACACAATTTGTGGCGCTGGTCGTGCGCCGACCGCGGTGCAGGTCACATGTGTACGCGTGCCAGCGATGAGCGCGTGATTTAAACCTTGCAGCAGCAAGCTTAGTGGCGGTACTGAAATTTAGAAGAAAAAAAGAATCATATTTTATAAAAGTTTATGCTTCGAGAGTTAGCTAAACGTACCTTACAATTAAATAATTTATGGAATTTTAGAAAATATTCAAATATTAATGTGCGTTAAGTAATTGTAGAAAGGAAATAAAAAATAAAAAAAAACATGTGAAAAAATAATTTAAAAATAAAAAAAAAAACATGTAAAAAAATAATTTAAAAATAAAAAAAAAACGTAAAAAAATCATTTAAAAATAAAAAAAAAACATGTAAAAATATAATTTAAAAATAAAAAAAAACATGTAAAAAAATAATTTAAAAATAAAATTTAAAAAAAAAAATTTTTTAAAAAATTACAAAAAAAAATAATTAAAAAGCAAAGTAAAAAAAGAACAAAAAAAATATATTTTTTAAAATTTTTTGGAATCGGCATCAGACTATCAACCCACCTCTCTTAAGCAAACGTTATTTTTATAGCTATGATAAAAAATATAGCATAACTTAAGGCGTCAAGCCTATCAACCGCACAATTCGCAACTTTTTTTTTAACTTTTAATTAGTTTTAGTTAATAAAAAATCAAACAAGTAAATATGTTTAAAAGTATAAAATTTTTACTTTTCAATTTTTTAACTGAGACGGTTTCCATGGTAACACATACCAAAATAAAAATGGACAGCTTGCTTTACATAAAAATATTATCTTATTTCATATTTCTATAAGCTTCATACCGAGTTTTAGTTAAAAATCTAATTATACCGTTTAAGATTAAAATTTGTATAAATAAAAGAAAAATTATAGTATACATCAAGGCGCTTTACTTATCTACCGCGCGTGTCAGTTAAGTACTTTGAAAAAGCTCAAAATTTCAACGAATATCTTAGTCTTCTTGTATATGCTTATAACTGCCGTACGTATTTATTTAGGTCTCTTGAGTTGAACTACTCGCTGCTTGAACAGCTTGTACTAGCAGCTTGTTACTATCAATTTCTGGTCTCACCTGAAATACCCTAATTTCTTATGCACATCTTCTGTCATGAAGTGCATATCTTTATATGCAAACGCTCGTATAAAAGCACAAATAGTAAGGAATCAGAATAGGAGGAAAAAGAACTGAGTCTCAGAAGCGCATAAAACGTCTGAGCACAGCTGAGCGCTGGCCATAAATCTAAGGTATTATTTAACAAACTAATCTACATAGCATAGACTTACGAATGCTATTTACTTAGTTACCAGCCAATGTATTGCTTATATAAGCATATAAGCATATTTTCAGAAATGTGTAGACGCTTTATTTATTTGTTTGGCTCATCAACTGCGCTATTCACTAGCGCAAATATATTGAACTAATAAAATATTAAATTTGTGCTTGAACCTTCTGAGCTATTGTAAATATATGCGCGCTTCAATGTATGCAACACATTTTTTTTTAGTCAAGAGCTGGGCGTTGCTGCTTGTATACGTAATTATAGGGTGATACCACATGTTTGTATTGGAAGCAAAAAATATATTTAGTAAAAAAATTTGAAAATAAAAGTGAATTTATGCGGAAGATTTTCGATACTGTGGCAAGAACTTTAAAATAGAAACGTTTGTGCTTTTGACCCAAGTGCAAAAGCTTGCTATAAATGCTAAACGTTGCATAAATATAGGCGCTACGTCCTACTTTTACAAAAAAAATATGTATAAGCTATCCATCACTCATTTTTTCATATATGACATATGTGTATGCTTTAGCTTCTGATAGTATTTGCTGACTTATGCGCTGCATTTGTGAGAGAATTTCAAGCAAATATGCCAAATCTTGGTATGGACAGACATTATACGCTAGCACAGCTTTGCTTGGTATTCGTTTTCCTTAATGTATGTCAGCAAATATATTTGCTTGTTTATATGACAAATGCAAAGTTTTGATTGTTTAACAACTGGCGGACGCTTAATATGATTTTCTTTGAAGCATTCATAAATTTCTGTTTTATAGCATACTTCTAGGCGTGCTCTTGTAATATAATTTTGCTTGTTTACTTTAGCAAATCCTACAAAAGTTGTAATGAAATAGCAGAAATTTATTGCAAGCATTTGCCGGAAATTATTTACGAGTTGGCAGTAAAGCGGAGACAGAGAGTGAGAGTGCAAGCCAGAGGGGAATGCAGGTTGAACAAAAAATTAGAGGGCAGCACTTGATGAGTTTTTGTATTAACTGAGGTTTGCGGCCAATTCGGAATTATATGTGGATTTTCGGTGGCTGTTGACGAAAATTATGCGTTATATATAAAAAGCATGTATGTACATATATACCGGATACAGTAGTTTGCTGATAACCAAAATGCATACCACGAAAATGTTATATTCATAAATCATACTATTTACTAATATATACAATCTATTACTAATAAATGAGGTAGTGATGTTTTTCTCGAAAAATGTATGAGGAAAAAATCCGGCTTATTGATAAGCAAAGCGGAAACGGAAGTGACAACAATGCAGTATAAAATCAACTAAGAGAGACATAAACGAAATATTGAATGGAAATTGGCTTGGGGCCAGCAATGCGCACCAATTATTGGCGGTCACGCATGCTGCATGAGAGTGACATACAATCACAATCAGTTTTCGAGCGAAAAGATGCACTTCAGGCGTCAAAGCGGTTGTTGGAACGTGCAATTAGCACTGTGTCGAGCTGCCGGCTGATGAGGCTGATGACTGCTGCGAATTTGCACACGCCACTATCATTAACGTGTTGCAGCGTTGTCACGTAAATAACAGCGTGTGCGGCATGTGTCGCAAAAAGTGCGCATAAATCAGCGCAATCACTAACAGGGTGACGAGGCACTCAGAAATATTGTTTGTATTGTAAAAGAAATTGCATTGGCATGCAGAGACAAAGCAATACAAAGCAGATTTCAGCGCTGTTGTTGTAGTGCCATAACAACTAAAGCGTGCTATTTGTGCATATTTTCGCATTAGCGAGCCGATAAAGTCTGTACTGCCACCACCAGCAACAACGTTGCGGCATGTGTGCGGCGCGCTGCCGGCACTTTTGTTCGACTTTTAATTACAGTCACGCGCTAGAAATTATGCAGGCATTCTTCTCGTCTTGTTACTTATCCTTGATGTGCTTTGTTTGTTGCCTACTTGCAGGGGTGCACACCCCTTGTGCACCGTTTTCATGTCGCTAATTGAAAAGTGTGTTGTAACGTGCGCCGTCGCTGCCATTATTGCTGTTGTTCTTATTTTCATATACGTCGCTTTCTTCTCCGTTTGATTTGCCAATTGTAAGGAAGTCTGCTTGTTCGCTGTAAATTTATGTGGCGCTGCCGCGTTTGTGGCATGAAAACAAAAGGCCATGCTTCGATAAGTGACAGGTGTGAGTTGAGCAGCGTGTGATACGCGAAAGGCAGTGGACAGCACGAGCGTGTGCGCATTCAGTTATTGTTGAGTCATTCGCGTTACATAAACAGAACGTTGCAGTGCTAGCGCTGCTATCATTTCTAACTCCTTAATCAGTATTGCTTGCCGCCACCCTCATTTGCTGCCAATCACACGCTGACTTTGTGTTTCTTGACGCTGCATTTTTATCAATTCACAAAGAATTTTAGCACGCCACCAACAACACGCACAAATTAGTGCAACACTTCCGCCGCCCCGCTACTTCCGCTTGCTTTCGCTACCCACTACTACACCACTCTTTATTTGATGCTTAGAAATCGTGCAGCCACACACATACATATAGAGATAAACAACGCTTGATAAAGTCAGAATGCGCGCATTTGCTTATTTGCCTTTGTTTTGCGCATTCCAATTTGGTCTTTTGTTTATTTCGAAGCTTTTCTTATTTGTGTTTCCGTTAGCTGCTTTTGTCTTGTTGTTGTTCAAAGTTAAATGTTTGTCAAATCGCGCTTTAATGTCTACAATTTTCCTATTTAATCTCTCAACTTGACTTCTGTCATGATTTTTGCGCATAGCACAACTCATTCACGCCAATCAACGGCTAGAAAAGACTTTTACAAACAAAGCAGCTTTTGTGATTTTAAAGAAAGAAATGTAAAGAAGCATCTTGCAATAACTGGCGTTTGTCTAAAGTACGTTAAATAGCACTCAAAACAAGTATTTTGAATTGAGATAATATGTTAGATTGACTTTTTGTTTAAAGCGCAATTGTTTGGTCCATAAGTCGTACAAAAGCCGCCTGAGTATATGCACAAATAAAGTCAAGAATCTGTTGAGTATTATTTTTGAAATCTCGGTAAATAGCTTACAAACAAACTGAAGCGTACTTTTGGGTGCTCTTACTTTTTTGTACAGCAGACAAAAGCACTTTAATAATGAAACGGTACTGACATTGAAATGCTGGGTTTTCGAAGCGACAAATGCTGTTAAAAATATAACCAAAACGCTTCTAATATGCAATATTGAGTATTCTATGAGTATTTATTAATTACAGCCTGGAAGCGTGCTAGTAAACGACAATCTTTTAAAAAAAATTAGAAACATATATTATGGTAGTATTTTGTTGTTTGAAAAATGTACGAAAAATTTTAATTCCAAGTTTAGGTTATTTTAATCTGCTTGAGATTCACTAAATGCCTTAAGGACGTTATTATTTATAATATTTCCTTTTATTTTATAATAAGCTAAAATGTATGCAACCATTTCCTTGAAAGCGTACCGCAATTAGATATATACGTGCGCAACTGCCAAATAATGTAGTTTCTTTTAGGCGCAAAATGCATTTAGTAGTAATTTTTAAAGCGAAATTTGTTCGCAATTTAACAACAATAGCTTCTTGCTTAATAAAAATAAGTGCTCAAACTATTGCGTACTGTTCTTGCTAAAAAATGATTGAAGCTCCAATTGGCTGTCTGACACATTAAAATTGTAAACAAAAATTAAAAGCAATTAAACACTGTTTGCTTTCAAATTTACAATGTGTTTTGCATTACTGTAGCTTGCGCTTTCCCCTGCTATTTCTACCAACATTAATTGTTTCGCTTTAAAACATTTAATTTGGTTACAGCAAAATTCATTTAGTCTCTAAGCATGTGTATATATACACATGTAACTTCTGGAATTGGCACTTAACCCAAAAAGTAACTAGTTGTTTTTGTAGTACTACTTAATTACGTCGCTACCCGCAAAATTGGGCGAATGCTACATTGACACATATGTTTTACGAGCTCGTAGGGAAATAAGTTTGCACATACACACATGCATATACACATACACAGACTTAAATAAATAAGGTAAGTCAACAAACTGCTCTTCGTAAGCATATTTTTTATGTCTCGACATAAATCTCGCAAACCTACATAAGTATAACGGTTTTGTGCGCCTTGTTCACTTTTTCCACAGTTACTTACTTTAATTTTTTTACGACTTTCAGCCCAAACTCCTTCAGCGCCATGGCAAATAATTAACTTTGACTACATTTCCACTTCCTCAGCGTGTGCCTGTGTCCAATCTGGCCACTGGCCTTGTACGACATGTGCTTCGACTCAACTGGGCTGCAAAGCCAACACCACACCACACACACATACACACACGTACACAAACTTTTATTTGTACGTCTGCCGGCCTGCTATTTTATGTTATTACCAATTCTGTAGTTGACATTTATGTGCCACTACTTAGCATACAATTGCATGTTTAGTCCATATGAAAGCAAATATACATTTGGCACTAGCAAATACACAACCACACACACTTTCAAACTTGTTAGCATACTCATAGCAATTGTGTGTGTATTTGTGTTTGCAAGGGTAGCGCAAATTTGCAAAAAGGCCACCTGTATTTTAATATGTGCGGGGTAATTAGCAATGAATGCAATTTCAAAGGGATTTTCCGACATCATAAACCAAGTCAACACACATTCGCTCAAAGCAAACGTAAGGGGAGACTGTGCAGAGCATAAACATACTACACATATGCTTGCTAGTAATGTATATGTATGTATATATGTATATAAGTGTATATGTGTAAGGGTTTGAGTAAGTGTGAATGCTTGTTCAGCTGGAAAATGGAGAAAAATGAGGTTCAGCAAATACTATTAAAAATATCCTTACGTCAATGCGGATTTGTCATGGAAGCAGCTTAATAGTTTATGTATAATCCAGTTATATATATTGTATATTCTATAAAGAGATATATGCTCAAGCGCACAGCTATTAGCGACAAAATATTGCAATTTTGCTTTTATCAGGTAGATAGTGTATAGTCTGCGACAAGAATTTAATAAAAAAAAAAAAAAATATAAAAAAAAAAATAAAAAAAAATAAAATACGCATACTGCACTTGGATCAAGCGTCAACTATGAGTTGTGTGAACATATACCTCTTGTCTTAACTCTATAAAGTTCGTACAATATTTGAGGCGACGCCGAAGTGCTGATAGTTAAATGAAATGTCCTTCGTTGTAAATTTTTTTCACAGTCGTTATTTAAACCCATGACACTTCAAATAATTCACACCGTCAAACTACTTGTCTGCCACTTACACTTTTTTAGAGTTACGCCCATGACTACCTACAACTTAATTGATATCTAGACTAGTCCATAAAGTTTTGAGATATCGATCTGCAATTTTGCAAACATTCGTCTCACGCCAAGAAATTGCTTATTTGTCGGAACCGCCGAAATCGAATCACTTTAGGATATATGGTAACTGTTGTGCAAACTGATCAATCAGAATCAAGTCCTTGTATGGAAAATGCTTTTATTCAACAAAATATCTCAACGAACTTTGGCATGAGTTATGGTTTAAGACTACGCTAAAATCTTTGGAGAAATTACTCAGATCATACATCGATGGCATATAGCTGTCATACAAACTGAGCGATCAAAATCGTGATGAAGATATTTTTGTACACTTGTATGCTATAAGAAATGGCACTCTAAAGTGTACAATACAATATATATATTTTTTTTTTAATATACTATGTGATAATTTCAAGAAGAAATATTTTTTAAATATTTACTGTGATTTTTTTTTGTTTTAGTTAACAAATAATAAAATGCAAAAATATTTTCATAAGTTTTGTTCATTTCTAAAAATGAAGTGTAAATATAGGTATTAATTTAACCAAGGCAAAGAAGTGAAAATTATATATTCGCTACTCACAGTTCATGTCCAGCACAACTTTCTTCGTCAGAGCCGCCACAACATGTCCGTTGCTCGCTTGGCACGTGTAAACCTGTTGGAAGAAGCAGAAAGTAAAATTTAGCACAACAGCAGCACATTAAGAACAAAGAAATACACATGCAGGTGACTTCGCTTAGATTTTAATAACAGTAATAAAGCACAACCGGCCCAAAAAAAAAGCAAACGAAATGAGCTGCCACCTAGCTCAAAGTCATAATTTGTGCTAATCATATAATTCTCGAAGCGAATACACAAACAATTGAATGTTCCCACGCTGTTAGTATGTCAATATATGAATGTGTGTATGTCTGTGGCACTCAATCACACGAATTGGTTGCATTTACGAATTATTAGTTAATACTTATTAATCGGTATGTTGGCGCCATAACGTCAACATATCGCAGGTAATTAGTTAACCACAAACAACCACACACAAACTCGTACAAATATGCGCACAAGCACACAAACGTAGAAAAAACGCACACACAGAAATGTTTTAATTAAGTATATGAAGAGTCGAATGTAAATGAGAAATTACTGTTGAAACAAATTGCTTAATATATTATGGTAATTTGAATTCGGTAACAAAAGCGTTCGCGCGATAAAGTGCGGCGCAGCAGGCCTGCGCTGTTTGAATGACAGCGAAAGGGTGCGCATTGATTAGCCGGCGCTGCAGCGCTGTTTTGGTATTATTTAATTCAGCATGAAGGATGGAGTGTAAATAGTGAGTGAGAGAGTTGCGCCGTGGGAAACATTTTTATAAAAGAAAAATCAAACATATATGTATGTAAGCTTTGGAGTTGAATAAACGACAACCGCTGTGCTGAATAACTACAAAAACGCAAACCTTCCAGGCGCTGTGGCATTCAGCGCTTTATTCAGCGATATTTCGCTTGCGCTGAATAAGTGCTGAAAACGTGTCAGCCTGTACATTAAGCGTGAAGTTGCGTTCTTAGCGTTATACAATTTAATTTCAATGTCAAAAAAGTTAGAAAGTAGTATTTATTTCTAATAATCTGTTTCCAAGTTAGCTGAAAACTTAAAATGTAGCAAAACAACTTGTCTTTATAAAACAGCAAAATTTGTTATTAAGCATTTTGCCGCAAGCTCATTTAAATGCCACAACCCGTTAGCATGCGGCACAGTTATGGTACGAAACTATTTCTGGCATAATACGATAATCCGGCACAAACTTTTCCAAGGCTGCTGCGCAACTGCGAGGCGAAATTTGTGCAAAACTTATATGAAACTTACAGCAGCAGCGGTAGAATCTTAAAAGCTTTGCCAGCTTTGTATAAATAGCTGTTTTCTTCACTGAATTATGTTTGTTGTATGCTCGTAAGCACACAAATAGTTTCACCTGCAACTTGGCTGCGAAAACTTTTCGACAGAGGTAAACATTCTCCCGATTTTCAGTACATGGCAAAATGTTTGTGTTGCCGAAATTGCAGAGATTTATTAGAAATGATTACACTAAGTGTTGCACGCAGAGCCTTTAAAGGCGTTTCGAACTGATGTTAGGAAATATTGAAAAGTTGTTCAGTTAATGGCGAGCACATTAATTTTGGAAAATAATTCAGTTTGAGGTGAGTAGCACTAACAATATTTCTAAATATTTCAAATACAACACTGCGTTTGTCTACCATAATTAGGCGTAGCCTTGTCGCGAAATCAAAGTTATGAATAGAAACACGTTTTAGGTTAATTAGAGCTTTTGGAATCACGAATATTATTTAAAGGGTTATATCAACTTGCGAATTTCACAAAATAAATTTTTTGTTTTGCATAATTATCGCATGTAAACATATTTAGGAATATGCTCCAAAAATTTGAGGTTCATCTGAAAAATAATTTTGTAGATCTGAGCATATTTGTAAAATTTCTTTTACTTAGTGTAACCGGCTCCCTAAATTTTAAATATATTTTTCTCGAACTTGATCTCCCTTTTAAAGTTTTTCGAGTTAAAATTTTTATTTCGTAAAAAAATTTTGATAAGTGTTCTAGAAGCTGTGGAGAGTCATTATTGGCGTTTTAAAAAAGTCTTAAACGACAACATGCTTTTCTTAAGCGTTAAAATAAATTTTGAGTCAAAACCGTCACATTCGGCAATTTTTATATAAATGTCAAGAGTTTAAACCAAAAATAATTTTTTCTTCTCCAAAAAAAGTTTTAACTCGAAATTTACTTTAAAATTGGTGCGTCGCCTGTATTTTGAACAAAAATATTTTTTTTTAACATCTACAGGCGACGCATCACTTTTAATGTAAATTTCGAGTTAAAACTTTTTTTGGAGCAGAAAAAATTATTTTTGGTTTAAACTATTTTTTTGTTCAAAAAGCTAAGCAAAAAAAAATTTTTTTTTTTCACTCCACCCTAATTTATATATAACTTTTTTTCTGTCTTGCAAGTGGATTTACTACTCATATGATTATTGACAAGATCATCACTGCCTGGTAGAAAATAAAACATGGTAGGGAATCAGTTGATTTGGCATGAATCGAGTTTTGACGAAAAAATGTAATTTTAAGCTAATTTAGAAAGCATGTCCCAAAGAACTTCATTTAAAGTAGTTGCTATGTTCACTACTGACTTAATTGTCGCATGCTAAAGTGTCAAAGTGTTGTCAGTTCTCTTTAAATTTGCATACATTGGTTGGGTAATGGAATTTCCTGCTGCCTGTTTTCTGCAACCAGCACAAATAAATCACACATAAATTTTGTTCAAATTGTCATAAAATCCAGACTACAATAGACAAATCATATAAGGCAAGGAAAAAACAAAAAAAAAAAATAATAGTTGTACTGAACAAATGAATTCTGTAACAGAGAGAAAACTATAACTGTAATTGAAAAATTCAAGTATATAACTTGAGTAGTTAAGCCGATTAAGACCGTTTCAAACATCTTCCATACAACAGATGTCCCGGCATATACATAGACACATAGCATATGAGCCACAAAGCTAACCAAAGCCAACTCAGTGCGGTCTTAGTCCAAAGCATGTGGGCAGCGGCCAGCAAAGCGTAGTAAAAAGTGGCAAAAAAAGGAGAGCAGAGAAATGTGTTTTCAAATTAGTTTCAAAAGCACAACAAACAAAAAAGCTAAACCGGCAAGACAAGAGGAGCCTTGGAGCATTTAGTGACTAAATTGCTGGAAGAAAAACCACACATACATACACACTCACACACATGAACGGAGAAATGCAAGTCAGGTGTAAAAATTAATTTACTGTACAAAGCAACTGTAGCATGCCTCAAATTCGAGCAGCAGGACGACTTGCAACACATGAAGTACGCAGCAGACAGAGGAAGTACCGTAGTTGCGCTAAAGAAATTGTAAATACACAGCAAATAGAATGAAGCGGAATAACGTAAGCAATGGACACGACGCAAGCATTATTTAAGCCGTCCAGCATTGATGACAACACACACAGCGCTGCACCGAGATGATGAAACGCAGGCACATATAACATATATGTATGCATGTATGTATGTACGTGTGTGTGCAGTTCGAGTGCGCTGATAAATGTGTGTGTGTGTGTGTGAACGTTTGTGTCCAACTTTTGTCGGCGAGACGCTGCTGCGGCGCATCGCACGGGATTAAGTTGTAACAATGGCAAAGAAGTGAAAATAAATTGTAGCGCTGCAACCACGATTTACAGTGTTCTCGAGTGGCGCACGTTGGCGCAAACAATGTGTGAACGCTGTAAGTCGCACGAGAGTTGTCGCACAAAGAGAGATTCATCATTTCCGGGTGGGCGTTAAGAACGGCTTAGACGAGCGCGAACAATAAGCGCTCGTGAGTGGTCGTTGCACCTACATGCTTATGAGTAAGTTTGTGTGTGTGTGTGTGTGTGTGTGTGTGTGTGTATAGTGTGTGTGTGTGTGTGTGTGTGTGTGTGTATAGTGTGTGCGCGTGTATTGCTGCGGTGGCAGTTGAATTATGCAAATGGTAATGAAATGAAAATGAGGAATGCCACACACGTTGTGCGCTAAGTAGCAGCAGCTGGTAGCACAAAAAGCAAATAATGTAAAATATATACATATGTATGTATAAAATATGAATATATGAATGCAAGATTTTAGTTGCTGTCTGCTCATATTTACAACGGCTTATTGCCAGTCTTGAGGTATGAGGTTAGATATTTTCCAATATTCTACACGAATCGTGGTCACTGAGAGTCTTCTAGTTGATAACCATTATTTTTATTTTACTTTTTCCATCAACATTTCTATTGTATGTCGAAAGTTTCTATATCGACAGAAAAAAACTGAAAAAAATCAGTATATTTTTCCGGCCCAACAAAATAATTACTACGAAGCATGAATCGCCTAAATGTATGCCTTGTATGTATTGAAAAAGGTTCCGCATTTTTCTGCGCTTGGTTTAGTTTTCCATGCTGTATGTGCACAAGCAATTAGAATTATGTGTTTCCTTCCTTAACAAGAGTTTTAGGCCAAATATTCAACTCAACTCTATAATTATGTCGAGTGTTATGAGTGCATGTAGACAAACCTGCATTCCAGACATACTTTTATTGTTGTCTACTGACAAGTCACCACACTGCGAACTGTCATTTTCCAACACCTAATCCCGTAATCATATTTCAAGAGCACAACGTCGTCAAAGTAGTTGTAAATTCGCCGTCTAAATGCCACATTGTCACTAGACTCACTCGTTTGGTATCATTTGTATATTCGATTCATGTTCGTTTGTTGTTGTTGTGCATGCTGTGTTGGCTAGTTATGGCGCAGGATGCCAAACTAAACACTATTAGTTAAATTGAAAAGAATGTGCCACCAAATAAGTAAAGTGAAATGAGTACAAAAGCGTACACATGAAAGAACCGAATAGCGTCGACGAAAGGAAACAACGCTGAGCAAATGAAAAGCAAACACACCACATCAAAAGGCGACTGCATCTCGAGCTTATGATCGGCAGCATGGAAGCGTATTTGTATATGTAGACGTGCACTTGATTTGCCCCTTTGTATTACGTATGCTGTTGTTGTTGTGTGTAGTTATTTGCTTTAAGTTTAAGTTTCTTTTGTGGCTGCTCTTGTTGTTGTTGACTGTCCAATCCGTACAAAAAGTCTCCTAAATTATTATTTACATACCATTCTTGGTGCACACAGTCGAGACAGCATAATGAATAATCCAACTGGATTAAGATTATGGCATATACGTAGCAATATATCAACACACACATGCATATATAAAGAGAGCGCAACTCAGCAATATGCCTTTTTGGTAGCCGTATGACACTAGCGTTTGTTTTCGTAGTATCTTCATAGTTGCTTAGCTTTAAATAATAAATGCTTAGCGCAATCAAAATAATAATAACACTGAAGCAAACAATCTGCCAAAAATATGAGTGAGTAGACAGGTTGGCAGACAATCGGACAGGTAAACAATGCTGTATAACTGTGTTTGTTTATTTTGCTGGCTTCACCATTTGGAGCTATTCGGTGATATTTGTGGAATACTGATTGAGCTCAGTACACAAACAAATACGAACATACATGTACAAGTATATATAGGTATATAAATATATATATATACATAGTATTCGTAAGCGTTTGAGGGACACACCTAGTGTGAATTTTAAGGAAAATTTTTCTTTTTATTTCGATTGGTTAAACTTTTAAAAATAAGTTAATAAAATTTTAAGTCGATACTTACCTTAAATTGAATGCTGTTAGTACAAATTATTTAATAAAATATTTCTGTATGATATATACTATTTTGCTTTGTTTTTTTTTTTGTTTTTTTTTAGCAATTTCAACACAGCTCTGCGGGAAATTCAAAAGCTTAAAAATTATGCGCATTATAAGGAATTAAAATTATATAGGCAAAGCGACTTCATTTTCAAAAGAGGAAAATCAAAAACAAGGTGTATACCAAATTTCCACATCAAAGCAACTGCGACACACTTGCGTATATTACCGCTGTCATTCGAAAGCTTACTTAGTTGGTGAAAGAGACATATATATAAGCATATAGGTAAATAAAAGCTTCACCGCAAACCAGCATGTGGCATGACAATTTCACTTTGGCATATCAAATTTTATAGGTGAACTCCCGAAAAGCAATTTGAAGCCTTACGAAGACGCACACACTACGAAGCGTTGGTATGTATGGTATGCGACGAGCGACGCGGCAAATCCATTTCATTTGTCAAGACGTAGGGAATTTATGTTAATTCATTTTTTATGTCATAATCATTGGCTACATGCGAAACACGCCAAAAACGTTAGCGCAACACATTTGACTACAGTTGGTGGCCAACTAAGTGGAAGCGCTGCGTTGTGCGAATGCAAAATACTAGTTTTGGTTGTTGTGAATTCTAGTTGATTCGAGTGAAAAAGTAAGAAAGCGCAAACAAGTTTGTGTCTTCTAGTTAAGTTTTGAAAATTCCAGCGCGGTTTTGATTCATTTTAACAGTTAGCTGCCAGATGCTGCTGTCTAAATATGACTAAGCAAGGAATTTAATTGCTAAATGCAGTAAAGTTAAGTTTTATTACCAATTGCAACATTATAATATAGTTTTGCAATATTTTCAAAAAGAACTACCATATATTACATGTGAGCGTTACAAATTTTTCGGCATTTTTGTATAATAAAATATTAATGTCTGTGTTACGTGCGCATACCTCATCAGCGAAAAGGGCTAAAACACTGTCTGCGGTCTAATATGTACCCAATGGAATGGAATGGGTATATGCTTCCTTATATGTTAAATATTTATATGTATGTAAATATTTTTTTGATACACTGTAAGCAAGTATATTAACTTTTTAAGCCATTTTAATCAATTACTTAGGTAAAGACTAATGGACCCCAAGGAAATCAGTATACGCAAGTGAGATATATTCAATACTTTGATAAATTCTATAATGATATATAGGTTATATCGCGTGGATTCAGTAGAATAGTCAAATATATATGCATGCTGATAAGTTTGTTTTTCAGTCCGGGTCAAATTTGATCAGATGCACATTTTAGTTTTCTTAAAAAGTTTATTTTATAATTTGGAATATTTAAAAATGGCACATAGTTCCTTTTAAAATTTCGTGCATGTATTTATTTGTAATATTTCATCATTATGTCTCCATAGAGATGTTGCTAAGCTTTTGCATTTCCCTACTTGACAATAATTACTGTATTTCCACATGCTTCCTTTTTCTAAAGTTAATCAATAACTTTGCTTTGAAGTTAATATATAAGCGAGTATGCGTTTTTTGCTATTTCCTTGAACTTAGGACTACCTCTTCATTATTATACCCTGAACAGAGTATACAAATTTTGTCATGTTTGTTTGTAACACCCAAAAGGAAACGTCAGAGACCCTTTAAAGTATATATATATATAATATAAATGAACAGTGTGACAAGCTAAGTCAATTTAGTCATGTATGCGAACCAGTCCCACAGTTTCTGAGTTATCGCTCTGAAATTGTGCACCCCTCTTTTTATTACAAAAAAAACTGATCATTTGTCGGAACGGCCGATAACGGACCACTATAGCATATAGCTGCCATACAAACTGAAAGACCGGAATCGGAAGCTCTTGTATGGAAAATTTCTTTATTTGTGGAGATGTCTTCAAGAAAATTGGCATGGGTTATTGCCTAGCCAAGTGATGCGATCTCCGAAGAAATTATTCAGATCGCGCTGCTATAGTTATGTTGTTGTACATGGTACTCCCAAAGAGCTCTTATACTGGCTATTGACTAAAAATCACTAACACTTTGATTAGTTCAATAAGTGACCCAAAAAGCAGCCCTCTCGCACTCTCTCTCTCTCTCTCTCTCTCTCTCTCTCAAAAATTAACCATTTTGTATTTTTTCCCCACTTGCATTCCCCACAGATTAAAATAAATATTTCACAACTCATTCCACATTTTAACTTATGGAACTTGCTGACAAGACTAAAATAACTTAAAAAACTTGCTTAAAGAACACCTGTACCGCATACATAACTGCCAAAACTCACTTAAATGTGTCCGAAAATGCTAAATTGCACTTACCTATATACATTTACAAGTGCACAACAACAGCAACAACTTTTATTAACAGCACTCAGTCATTCTTAAGGGCAATCACCACAACGCACAACTTACCATCGTGAAAGAGAGCGAAAGCACACACACACAAATACACATGCATATAGAGGCACTTACCGTTAGTAAATCCTTCCGTGCGATATTTTTCAAGTGTAGTATATTGCGAACGGTGCCATCTGGCTGCACATGAAACGAGTCGTCGACGAGCGCGTGTTCGCGCCACCAGGAGACGCGCGGCGGTGGCACACCACCGCTGGACAGGCACGTCAGATTAACGCTGTCGCCCTCCAAGTAGGGACCGGCCAATTGGTCGCGTATTTCAGCGCCGTTGTGATCCAGTATTGTTAAGCGTGTGGGCGGCACTGCGGGTGAAAAATAAGAAGAAGCAGAGTATGAGCGCTTGAGAACGTATGACTGCAGGAATCTCAGGTATGCGAGAATGTTGCACGGAATGTGTGTAGAGTAAAATCGAAAAAGGTGAAAGAAAAACGCAAAGAAATATTGCCTTGGGTGCAGGAAGAGGATGTTGCACGGATGTAATAAGGCAAATACTATATGCTAGTCGCAATTCAAAGGAAGCAAAATCGGCGTTCGAGTGTATTGGCATCACAGCGCAGCAAGAAAAAAAAGGAAAGAAAAAAGTTACAGGTTACAGAGAAAAATGTTATGAAAATGTCAGCAAGCTGACTGGTGACACCTTGCACGGCGACGTTCTAACGAATGTGTGAATGAATTAATTTTTCACACGCCCCTACACAAGCAAACACGAGCTGTTAGCTGGAAGGGAAATGAAAAATGTGCGCTGCGGAAGCGGAAATGCCACGAGTGCGCTTAGTGGCTGGGGAAAGCATGTGATGCGGGCGGTTGCGTATACGCCACAGAGCACCCTTATTCCCTAGAGTATAGATGCTACCGCATAGAATGTGTGTAACACTAATGCCAAATGAAAAATATGAAATCATTTGATTTGCACAACGAAGTTAAAGGAACGCCGCGCTGCTGGGTGGCAGCGCAGTTAAAGTAAAGGCATGTTTTAAGTAGAAAAATTGTGAAAAAAAATGCAAAAATTGTGTACAAAAGTATGTCGACATTTAAAGGGCTTGCAAAATTTAGACGCTTGCTTTAAGATTGCCGAATTGTAACTCATTTTCACAATAAATTATAAATAGCATATAAAGTAGGCAATTTAATTCATTGAAAGCGAAGCTTTTTATGCTTATAAAAAAATTCCAAAATGTAATCGCACAACATTTTTCAACTTTTCTCTCTTGGTTAGCATTACTTCTATTTTGTTTTTGTTGCCTACAACTCACCTAAAACTGTCACATTAATGCGCCAATTGCGCGTCGGTGATTTATGAAAGTCCACACGACACTTATAGAGGCCCGCATCGCTGAGTTGTATGTTCTTAATGCGCAGCGCCGGCGGATTTGCGTCGTAGTAGAAGTGCGCTTTGTTCTTGAGGACATTCTCGTCCGCCCAAGGTATGGCCTGATGTAGTGGACGGCCGCGCGCATCAAAACTGCAAAGAAAGCGAATAAAATTGAATTTGATTAATAAATGAGCAAAATGTTTGCCGACGCTATACAATTGTCAAGCATATACATACAAACTAGAAATATGTAATTAAAGAAATGAAGTGTGCGGCTTAAGCTTATTACTGATATATCGTTGTTGTTGTAGCTTAATCCGAAAACATTATTCAATAAGCCAACTAATAGCAGATACTTAAGCGCTTAATATTTGTTAATTGCTTGCTTATTAATTGCGACTTAGTGAGTGGGGCAGTGAGGAAGTGCGCTCTTCTAATAAAAGCTGTAAATCTAAATATTATATATGCATGTAACGCTTAAACATTATATACTTATATACTACTATATTACATTGTACTATATACAAAATGTAAGGATGGCTCATTGAAATTTTTTATATATGAAAAGCCAAAATTCATACCAAAATACAACAACAACAAAAAACATAAAGTTAATACCATCAACTCACATTGTGTCTTGTTGTGATAAAATGAATTAAGCCATAAATAATTATTAGTATTAGCCATAATTTATGGGTAAATGTAGGATATAAAAGACTTAAAAGAGGAAGTAAAATCTATGGCAGCGGCTGCAGTCGGGATGATTTTGAAAGAAAACATTGTATGCATTAGCAATTTGACGGATTAAATGGATTTGAGAGGTTATATTCTTATGAATTTCCAAAAATTAATTTTTTTGTTTTGCATATATATCGAGTGTACATACATACTCGTATATGCATCTCAGAGTATTCTCCAAAAATTAGAAGTTGTTCCCAAATCGAATATTTTTGCCAAACGGCTGAATCGTTCGACCTGAAATTTTGACCCGAACTTCTTTGCTATATTTGTCAGGTAATATACGAAGTAATACGATAATGTTATTTATTTCAATTTTTTGAGTCACACTATAGCATAAATTTTTCGCAAAAACCGACTTCTTTTTTTAGAAACCATCACTTGGAAAAAATCAAAATTTGAACTAGTCAAAATTAATTATATATAAGAATTTGTATTCATCTATTGTTCTAACAATTTTTATTGGTTTTTGGATTTTAGATCGTTCTAAGCAGAAAAATCTTGCTCAATGCCAGACAACTTTTTTCGGAAGTCCTCGTGAAAATCGGCTACGGGATCAAGCGTATACAAAGTATTTCAAAATTAGTTACTCATTTTTAAGTATATTAAATTCTAAAAATGTACACCTTTTTTATTTAATATAAAAAAAGATTCTTAATGGACTTAGCTTCCACAATATTAATTAAAATATTAGAATAGTAAGGTTCGTTTAGCGAAAAGTATAAAAATATAAATAAAATATTGGATTTTTGTGCAAAAAAAAAAATATTTTTCTTATACTTTTTTTGAAGATTAATATTGTTTGTCAGTAGTCATATGAGTACATACCACATATTACCCCTCGTACACTACCATATTGTGTTATATGACACGCATATGCAATTTTAGCCAGAAGTATCCTTAAGCAATGGCAACGTTAGTCCAAAAATCATGTATAGCTGTTGTTGTTATTATTAGAATTTTCTTAGCTAAGTGTTCAATGAATTATGCGCGCTAATTGAATTCAATTTGTAGCGTCAGCATATGTGCTTAGCGTGAGCGATTACTGGCACTCATATCAACAAACTAAGAGGCCGTCAATTTATTTGCCAACACTTCTAGGAATATATATAATCGCGTGAATTGAAATGCGAGTGCATGGCATCTTGCGGTTAGTGCCACAAAAGTAACGTTACAAGTAGCAACCTAATGCCAAATAGGAGTAGAAGGTGTAAGCAACTGCTGCGTGGAGTTGCTTATGTTTACTTTTGGCTTTCGTAGTTAATGAGTATAAACAGTAAGAGCTGGTAATATATATGCATTTCAGTTCCTAAGGGGGGGCTGGGTGACCAAAGCCGTGAAATAATACTGAAGATTAAATGAGTAATCGAAATATAAGCGGATTGATGTGCGCTGGAGAGTGGGAGTAATAAAACATATTGAGGTGAATTTGATTGTGAAAAAGGTTGTGAACAGGGGGAATTTAGTAAGAGGTTGGGCGGTGGTATATAATTATCGTAGGCCTAAAGTTGTTAATCTAACCAGTTCCACTGGATAGGGTATTTTAAGTTTACCACGTAGTTTGTAACACCCAGAAAGAAACGTGGGCTACCCTATAAAATATATATGTATATAACTAATCAGCGTGACGATCTGTGCTCATTAAGCCAGTCTCTGCATCTATCTGTTCGTCTGTATATACCATATGCGAACTACGCTTTCAGTTTTTGAGATATCGATCTAAAATTTTGCAGATGTTTTTTTCTCTTCAAGAAGCTGCTTAAACGTCGGAACTTACAGCTGCCATAGAAAATGACCGACCAAAATCAAATTTTTGTATAGAAAACTTTTTTATTGGTGAAGAATAGTTTAGAGCAATCGAAGTGAACGATTTTTATTGTTTTTATTGAAAAATAGTAAATTAAAAATTATGCTCGGAAAATCTGACATAATTGCTTTAGCACACATTTTTTAAACATTTCAATTTCCTCCATTTTATGTTGCATTTGCTTTATGCCACAATTAAACACCCTTTAGCCTTAAACAAAATTAAAGCCCATAATAAAACTGCAATTTTCCAAAAGTGTGCACTTAATGTTTCATTTGTCAGCAATTAACATAAATTAGTGTAAACATACACAATATCAAAACAGAACAACAATAGCAACATGAGCAGAAGCTATAGTTGCACTATAATGAAATAAATGGTAAACAAGCGTGTCAAAAGTGTCAAATTGGCAATTAAATGTCGCAGCTATGAAACTTCAAAAGCGCAGAAGAAGCTTCAACACACACACACAAACAAGCGCTCATATGAAAACTGTTGACAACTCATTCAAAGTGACAGTTTGGCAACAAATGGCTGTCACTTATCATTAAAACACAGCGATGCAAGCAAAGCAAAGTCTGAAGCTGCAGAAAAAGCAAAAACAGAGTGGCATTCTCTTTTGTATACTTCGTATTAAAATTCCTGACATAAAATTCTCGCGCATAAAATTAAAAACATAAATAAAACTTTTTATTAAAATTGACAACAATTTCGTTTGAGACATTTGGCTATATAATTTGATGACAGCGCTGATGCACTTAGCCAACGATACCACCCCCCTCCCATCCTCCACACACATATACCATACGCACACATAGGGAGAGTAACGGCACACGATAAACTCAACGTGTCGAGTCGCTTTTAGGCGCTAAGCCACGCAAAGCTGTTGGCGTAAGAGCGAACGTAAAAATGCGCTAAAAGTTAGTGGGTAAATTGTGTGTTGAGTCACTGAGAAGACTGCATTAAGTTCAAAAACACAACAATAAAAACAACAGCTATTTCATAAACGTTAAAGGCACCACTAGGCTCGACCATTGGCTGCCGCTGCCAGCGCTACACCGTCGCCTGTTTGTTTTTGCATACAATTTGTTGTTGTTAACAATTAGTTATTGCTTTTTATTTTTGATATGCGCTTGTAAGAGCAAATACGCAGGCGTTGACGTATAAAATGCCAATCGCTCACGCGCCTTAGTGCGCCGTTATTGTGTAGCATTTGATGTGAACGCATTTTTATTGCATATATTTTGTATTCCACAAGAGGTGGGTGCAGAGATTGTGGTGTGTGGACGGAAGATGAAGCGAACAAGGCAAGTTTAGTGCGTGTGTGTATTGCGGGCAGCAAAATGCCGATTTGTCCAGCAAAACAACGGTAATGCGCTGCTCCGCCCCACCGCGCAGCTGCGTTTCAGCAGCGTATTTGCTTGTAAACCGGAAAGTGAACACGCTACAGCTGCTGGCTGCTTGACGACAGTCCGTCCATTTGTTTGTCAATGTTTTGACACAATTCATCCAATATGCATTGGGCCATTCAAATTTTACGAGTTCCATATTTTTACATGCTCTTCAACCAGAAATGTAATGAAAAAATTGTGGCAAGATATAAAAAGAAGCGTGGCAGCAAGAAAACGACAACAAAAATGCTTGAAAATATTTTATAGCTGCTGCGCACACAAATTTACATTCATTTTGTTGTTATTGCCACCTTTATTGCCGTTAGACGTTTGTTCACACATTCGCTTTTCTCCAGCCATTTTATTGCTTATCTAAATGCTGAGCCTTATAAGCAAACAAACACGAAAAATTGAAAGCAAATCGAATAGTTGCCATTTAGAGTAGCGGTTGCTTGTAAATATGTATGTATACAACTTCTACAAAAACTACTAAAATCGCTACAAAATTTCAATACTAAAAATAAAGAAAATTGAACGCACAAAACTCATCGATATCAAATTTTGAATGATTTTTTAATGCAACCGCATTTAATTTGAGCTGCTGCTGCACTGGAAAACCTATAAAATATGCGCTCACTCATGCATATACACGCATACATATACAGCATCAGAAGAATGGCATCAAAAGCAGCAGAGCATGTGGCACTTGCTGAGGCACTTGCATGAGGAAGCGGAAAGTTATATGGCAAATTAAAACCACAGAAGGGATTAGTGACACCACAGCAATGTTTTCAGTGACACAAGCGCTTTCTGACCCCCCTCTTTCCAACTCAGTGTCACACTCGCCATACAATACAATGTGTCTCCCACTCTCTGTCTCTCTCTCTCTCTCTCTACCTCACTCACTCATTCATCCGCACTTGCTTCTATTTCGCTGTCATTTTACGACAATTTAGTGAAGCTTTTCTTTTAGACCCCCCCTTTCCAGCCGCTACAATATCGACATAAGTCAGTTATTAAAACGTTCTTACTGGTGGATGTTGGCGAGCAAGTCTGCCGCGCGCACATTAAATTTGTATTAAATTTATAGACCAGAAAATGTAATCACTAGAACAGTGTTGCATTTTGATGCTGTAAACCTGTTGTTGTAAGCTCATAAAAACTGATAGCACCACACAATTTAATGTATTAGCAAAGCGCTGGCTTACCATTTC